AGAAGCTGTGGCTGCCCCCTCCCTGGCAGTGTTCAAGGCCAGGTTGGATGGGGCTTTGAGCAACTTGGTCTGGTGGGAAGTGTCCCTGCCCATGGTAGGGGCAGTAGGACCTCAATGATCTTTAAGATCCCTTCCAACCCAAACCATTCTATGATTCTATAATACTATGTTTTAAGAACGGAGTTCACTAAAGCTGGGAAATTGCTAATATTTAATTCACTTCTGCAGCGTTGTTGTTTGCCTGGGATAGCGTTGAAGGAAAAGACCAACTGATTTCTATAGAAAGATTCTACTGCTTGCCTTTCTGTAACCAGAATGACTAAATATAAAATAAGATAGTTGTTATGCTCTTTATTTATTGTTCTCTTTTCCTCACCCATGAGGAGAAACACCCATAACTCATAGTGATGTGAAATCTTTCCCTCTGTATTCTGTCACACTTCATGCACAGCTGTAAATATACAAAGGCTTTTGGAATGAGCTAAGCTATTTCAACTTCTCGTATCTCTTTTCAATGGTTTCTAGAGTTGTACAGTAGCACAGTATTGTCTAGTTCTTACCTCTTCATTCCTTACTTTCAAATGAGATATTGAAAGTATTATCAGCACTAGGCTATGCATTTCTTGTTTGTTTCTTGACATTTACATAGTTGTCATAGGCTAGCTGATACCGGCTTTTTTCTTTGGTTTTTTTTTTTTGAGATTCTGTAGTTCTCATGGTGTGGATGAATACAGCATTATGAATTTGTATGTGATATTAATCACGAGGTCTGATTACTTAGTGCTCAAGATTGTTCTGAAAGTCCTTTTCAATGTTGGCACTGAGTAGTTACTGGAGACTGTAAGTAGAAACATACATTGAGAAAAATGGATGCAGAAAATATGATGTGTGTAATGGGTGGGCTAAGACTTTTTATGACAGGCATAAAATCACATCAGCCTGCGTGTGTTTGTTAAACAGCTTAATGTGAGGGATAGGAATGATTTGTGGCAAATACAGATTGAACCAATTTGAGTCTGATAATATACTAAAACTACAATGTTCAGCGCTCACTGAACACTGAAATCAACATTTCCTAACTGCAGACTTTGCAGTTAGGTCTGTGTATTTGCCAAAAGGCAACAAATCATTAGACTTAATCCATTTACGTGACTTCCTTGTCTTTGTAGGAAATAATTATTGCTATCCCATATTATATTCAGAGCCACACCTCAAAATCCTTTTGTAAATGTCATTAGCCAGAGCGGAAGAGGATTCTGCTGCAATGAAAGTACTTTTGTGGATTTATGAAGGAGTCATAGTTAATCTCAATCGGAAACATGTTAGGTGTAGACCATAGATTACCTGCCTAGTCAATATGAAGGGGTCTGTCTTAGTGTGCAATAGAAGAACGCTGGAATATATTTCAAATACCAGGATCTTCTTACTCTGTTCACTTTCTAGAAAGCAGTTTTCTGTACTCAGCCTTTGCAATAATCCCTTGTACTGACTAGGGCTTAGAGATGCTCATAGCTCTTCTGTCATCAAACTGAGTAAATTAAAACTGTGATGATATTTTTGCAACTTGTTTTAAAGATTTGTTTTGAAGAAGTTATCACAGCATTACAGCATTACTGTTGGTTCTGATTCTTATGTTGACAAGAAGCACAATGTTATTGCACCACTTTGGGTAGAACATTAATAGAGTGTGTTTTTAGTTAAAATGGCAGAAAAAAATTAATTACTGCAGTTTTTTTCTAGATATACAGACTACTGAGAAACTAAATCCAAGTCACTGAGAGGTAAAATTCTCTAAAAGCATTATTTGAATGTACTCGATTTTACAACAGCTTAGTTCCTGTAAGGCTCAGCAGTCAAGTGTAGTTGATCTGACCCATTTGGGCAACCTTTGAATTGAATCATAGTAATACTCAGTTTGTTCTGTACACAGCACATTCTGAAAATGTCTTCATCTTTCCAGGGTATAGGGTGCTGTGTGCAAATTTGGATGCACCTTCATATGGCATTGTTCTCCTGAGTTAGTTTTCAAGAGTTGAGACCATCTTTAGAAGAGCAGTTACGCTCTTGATTGTGTGTAGTCTGTTCTTAAGAGTTTGTGTTCCCCTGTGATGGTTGCTGTCTGCTTTTACATCAGCTTCTACTGAGTTGGTTTTACTCGAGTGAGTGTAGTCATACTGATGAAAATCAACACAAGCAGGGGAGTGATAGGGTTAACAGTACAGAATAACTGTGACTTGTTACTGTACTGGTGGTTGAGCATTTTGGATGTTATTTCGAAGCCAGAAAACCTTGTAACATGATAATTTTCAGTCTGTATTGATTTGTGGATGTCAAAGCATTTTCCTGTGAGAATCTTTCTTCAGAAACTTCATAATCAGGTTCTGCCCACTAGTGCATTTCAACAAGAGACTATCCCATCATAAAAATTGGTACCGTGCCAGACTTTTAAAACATAGACTTTTGAAGTGGGTGTCTGTTTCACTAGGCAGGTTTTCTCTACCAGGTGCTCACTACTTCTCTAATGATATGGTAGGTGTTGGCTGGAAGAACAAAGATGCTAATTTTCTGAGTAACAAATTCTAATTCTCTTTTTCAAATGCTAAGACCTGGCATTAATCTCTTTTGGAGTAATAATGCCTTTACCACTTTATCCCAGTCTGCATTGCAGAGTATGAGTGTTGGTTGGGGGATTCATAGTGAAATAGCTGTGAGTACACTTCCAAAAGTGAAGTAGGTTGGAGAAAAAGGAACATGCTGTGTTACTCAGCGTATGCATGGTAATCATAATCATGGGCTTGCTTAAATCCTATAAAAGTTTCAATATATTTAAGTACATATAATAATTTAAGTCAGATGTAGTTAAATAGGGCAATAAGCTTTCAAAATGTGATTTTGCAGGTCGGAGAGAGAGAGTGCTTTTTTTGTGTGTGTTATGCAAGGGCGTAGTTGTAGGTTCTTTAAGCAGCAGGCAAATACTTGATGTGCTGGAAGATGGACACTTGCGGTTGTTTTCAGTTAAAATTCAGTTGAGGGGGGTAGAAAATTCACTGAGGCTTTTTGTCAAGGACTTAGTCTGAAATAAAATGTGGCACGATTACTATTACTGGATGACTTCTGAGACAAGAAAATGCCTTCTAGGGTGAGAAGGCCACTCTAAGCAGTTCTGCTGTGCCTGGACCAGGTTGAATTCTAATATTCAGAATATAATTAATTTTAGTACCGATTATGCAGTAAAAAGTATATCATAAAAGAAGCAGTTGCTCTCTGTTCAGTGTAATACTATAAATCTGAGAGTTCTGGAAACTTTCTTGCTCATAATCCTAGAATGAGCATGATCTATTTGCCCATTGTAGAATGACGCTGTGTGGTTCTGTGAGTGTTATAATGCATGCATGCTGTCTAGAGGGCTTTTTTCTTTTGAATGGAAGACAACAGTCTAGCTCTGATGTTGTATTTACGTAGAATGAGTCAGGTAGCTGGGATTTTTGACTTGTTTGCAGGGTCTGTAGAATGTCTTGACTCCCAGAGGTCATAAGGAGCTCTTTGGATGTTTTTTTTAAAATAGCATCATTTTTATCAACTTACTCTAATTTTTTTATAAATATGTTATCAGTTTATGGGAGCATTGTCTAATCTTTGTATAACCCACTGATTTAAGAATACAGAAGATGAAGATTCATAACTTGCATTCTGCTAATTAGTTCTGACTTTTATGAAATGTTAACTTCTGCAAAAGCCTTTCAGTGTAAATTAAAAATAAATTCAGATAATAGAAATTATTTCTGTATGTTTCTGATGTTTAGTTCTCAACCTTTTGATTTAGTTCGAAGGTTTTTTAAATGTTTTGCATCATATTAATTCTAAACTAAATAGACAAGTAAATACTGCCTTATAATTTCATTATGCTTATGGCTGCTTTTGTGGCAATTGAGGTAAAGCTATTTTCTTCCTGTAGTTTTAGTTTATAGGATGAAATTGTTTAATAATTCATTTAGTATTCTGAGTTACTTGTGGGACTATAGATAGAAAAACCTCTGCATTGGTTCAAGGTCAATATCAAGCTCTGCTGTCAAATTGTTTGCATTTACTGCTGCAGAGCTTAGAGCTAAAAGAAGATACAGATTGCATTTAGAACCTGTTCCTCAGCATCTGGTTCATTATACTGAAACTGAAGATGATGTCTTTTGGTTATAGCAGATACAATTTCTGTAACTGAGGAAGTCAAAATGCTAAGTAAAATTGGCTGGAAGAGGGAAGGTAAATTAAAAACCAAAGGGCATGTGTGTGGAAGGTTCTTAACAAAAGGGAGCTCTTATCCAACAAATACAGTATTTTAACTAAATGGATATGGCAGATAAGAGAATGTGATCCTTCTCAGCAGTGTGATCTATAAATGTGTATCATGGTCGTGGTGTTCTTTATGTGTTGGAGTGAGGGGCATGGGAGGGGGCAGTAACGAACTACATTAAAATATATTTTTTATTAACAGCATCTGTAAATTCCTGTTGACTTGGTAGCATTGGTATTTTGTGGGTATATGACATCTAGTGGAACGTTTTGCCTTTTGTATTTCAGTGATAGACGTTTGCTACAACCTGCTCAGGTATGTGACATTCTCAAAGGAGTTATATTGGTCATCTGCTACTTCATGATGCACTATGTTGACTACTCTATGATGTATCATCTGATAAGGGGACAGTCTGTCATAAAGCTCTACATCATCTATAACATGCTGGAGGTAAGAAAGTTGGCATCAGGATATCAAGCATGCTTTTTTCAAGACTATCTAAAATATTGTTGTATTACAGTATTTGAACTTAGAATATAGCACGCCTCATACTCTCACAAGTGTGCACACGTCTATGGTGATAAGCCTAGATGCAGTGAAACACACAAGTTCATGAAAAATAAGTTTTGTAGATACTGTTTTGTATTGCGTAGTTCCTGGAGCTTATTATTTAGTTGAATGAAAATTGAGAACCAGAAATGAAAGAGGAAACATCTTAAACTGGAATGCAAGAAGTGGAATGAATGAGGTTTTGAACTCACTTGGAAAAATAGAAACTGTTGATTTGAAATGGTGATAAGATCCTGAGAGAGAGCAGACAAGGAAGATGATAGAATACGTGGAATTGAATTTTTTAATTCCACATTATGTAAGTACAGGTTTCATTGTATGCAAGGACACATGTTACTGCTTAACCTGCCTCAGTCCTGGCTAGCAGACAAAAGCCTGAGTACATAAAACAATAGGTTAAATGAATATAGTGAAACAAGAAATGGAAATTCTGTTTTGGGAGGTAGGATAAAGAGAAATTCTGGGGAAAAAGATTGTTTCTGCTTTTGTTATTAATGTAAAGCATGAGGTTTTTAATGGCGCCTCTATGATCAATGATTCATAGAGTAAATGTTTTCGTAGCTACAATCTTATCTCCATCCTGCAAATAAAGGACATGTTAGGAATACAACCTCTTAAAAAAGGGACTCAATCAGAGCTTTGTACACAAGAGTTACTCTACTAGGATTCTGGGACCTCTGAATAATGTATTAACTTGTTTGAGCATCTGTTGCACCTCTGTTTGAACACTTCCTAAAACAGGGCTACATTTTGTGCAAAATCTGAATATTTTGTCTAAAGACATTTATTCTTTCCTCATAAAATATGGAAATACTGCATAAGGAACACACTTCATTATCCTAAGTGAAATGAATATCATACAAGCGACCTCAGTTGTTATTTATAGGGGTTTGTTTCCTTTTATTATAGGTTTGCTGAAAAACATACAAGTATTAAATTGTCACTGAGTTACTATGTGGATTTTAGTTGTGTTGGGAAATACTCATCCATACATAGTTCCATAATCTGTGAGAGATTATCACTTACAAAATAAATCCATGTGCTCAAAATAGTAATTTCTCTTTATTTCAAGACTACTTCAAGTCACTTCTCTTAAAGCTGAGAAAGTACACCACTATGTGCTTACCACGTAATTTGAAGTGACTGCAGTGTTTGCTGTGAGTTGGAAGCCATGTGCCATTCCGTTTTTAATGAAGAGGAGAAGAGTTGAGTTTCTTTGCTACATTGGGCAGAACCAAAAGTGTGTGTCTAAACTAACAAGTGCTGCCTTTTTTTATAGGAAAGGGACAAGTCTGTTACTGCTCATAGTTATTAGAAAAATTGCATTAGATTTTGAACTTGGAAATGGTATTTAATTTCCATGGTGTCTCATGAAACCCAACACGCCAAGCAGAGGGAATATTTTTAAGGGGGCGTTTCTACTGTGGTAGGTTGCAGCTGCAGTATTGGCAGAACATGTTATGGGATCCCACTGAAATACTTGGTTGATAGTCAGCTTTCACCAGTTTGAATATTGTCTTGCTTAGATGACTTCAGTGAATTTTGTTATAAGTCTTTACTACTAATGCAAGCAGTGCTTTTTAAGGAACTGTTAAATATGCTGTTTTTTAAGTAATAAACTTCACATTTTCACAAGTTTTCAAAATGAATTAATTAAATTAGTTCCATTAATTTAGAGCAACAGAGATGTTTACAATGTCCTAATGTTTTCGGCTGTTGGCAACTCCAGGGAATAATTGTCCTGAACAGATAAGAGGAATGCAAAATCCTCAAATTATGTGCTGAATGCTCTAGATAGGCTATCTGGAGCATTCAGCACATTTGGCTTAAATGACACTTTTCTTTTTTAGATTCAGACCCACCGGCTCCTGCTCCTTGTGAAGCCCCAGTATGCGTTATGCTGGTGACAGCACTCACCATGGAATTCTGCTGGAGCCTGGAGCCGGCATGTAGGGTTTAGGTAAGTCATGTTTGGAGAAGTAAGCAACAATATTGTGTGGTGGGTTTTAATATTTTCTGTCCTGTCGGCTAAGAAACTAAAATAAAAAGGAAAGCAAAGCCACCATTTTACCTATTAAAACCCTCACAATATTGTGAACAAAAACTTACCAAACTCTAAGTACTTTAGTTGGTGTTATTACACCAGGCGTAATTATTCAATGGGTCATCACAATGAGCAGGAACCAAATAATGCAGGCCACCTTAGTTTACAAAATTTAAAAGCCGAAAACAGTACCACTGTAAATATCTCTCAAACTGATGGGTTTTTGAACCTCAGATTTATGTTAACTTATAATGTCGTGGTTCTTCATTTTATTTCATATGTGATGCTTAAAGAGTAGCATATAGTACCATTTACTTGAGATATCTGTTAAAAATTTGTTTTAATTCAGCCTTCATATTTTAGGAAACATCAATAAATGTTGGCTTGAATAAGTTAAAATACATGACTTCTATCCCTTCTGTATCTTTATCTTTGGAATCCTTAATTAACAAAGTCAGAAAATGATCCCAAATCCAGAATTACTTATATTGTGCCAAGAACTTATTTTCTTGTTAATAGGTATGTTTTAATATTTGCAGATACATTGTGCACCTAATTCTGTATTGCCACATGTTGTTTTAACCTTTCCAAGATTGTTTCTCGCAGAAGGACAGTAAGAGGCAATATCAGTTGTCTTTATTAAGTGGAGATAATCAGGTTTTCATATCTAACTATTTCTGTTTGGTTGAGTTAGTGAGCAATGAGAGAGATTTTAATTTTTGGAGTGCTATTTTTATTGCCCTATGCAGCTTAGTTTTAAAATTACCGAACTGTAGTGCATAGGCAGAAAAAAAGTCTTTCCTTGTCGTGATTCTCGTTTTTACGTGCTTGCTGATGACATGACATGTTGAGAACTGGTGGACCTTTCTTGCTGTGGTATTGAATTACATTACAAGCTCAGCTTCCTGTCCATGTTTTTCCTAACTTAGAATTACTGTAAGGGTTTTTCCTGTTGTGTGTATATTCTTTGGCTAATACTTCAGATGTTTGTAGTTTTGTCAAACTAATTTTCCCTTTGTTGCAGAACTTCTAGTCTCTCTTGCTCACTTGCTGTTCTGTTACAGTACTTTTTATTTTGAATTCTGCTTTATGCAGAGATTTGTACTAAGTATATACTTTATCCCAAGATGTAAGGAACCGGTACAGCCAAATCTAATTTCAGTTCTTTTTGTACCTGTAAGCTGATGTTGTTCCCTAGCACATATTTGAAATTCACTTTTCATTGTTTTTTCACCCTATTAAACCTAGAGGGGCTGGAAAAAATATTTAGCATAGTTTGATGCAACATATATATTGCTTTATCGAATGCATATGTATAATGCTTGCTGAAGTTTGAATTGTACTTGCATGTCTTCCAAGGAAGCATCTAAGATAAGGCTACATGGTTATCCATTGTAAATACTGTTAAAAAGGGGATAGTAAATTTGAGAGGGGAAGTAAGCTGCTGAGTATGCAATAGGAACAATATCACTGAAATCCAGGGTGGAAATGGAATGAACAAGAGTTGGAAAGTGATAAATATGTGAGACTTTTTCTAGGTTGAGCTGTACTTGCAGTGGCATATTCAAATGTCAGAGAAAAACATTGCTTTAAGGCAATAAAAAGTTGTTCTTGTTCAGGTGGCTGATCGTCTGTTTTCTTCGTTTGGACAAGATATATTGGATGCTCTTTATTGGACAGCTACAGAACCAAAGGAAAGAAAAAGAGCTCACATAGGTGTGATTCCTCACTTCTTCATGGCAGTGCTGTATGTCTGTATCCTTTTTCTTCAATAAATTGCAAGATTTTCTAAATTAAATTACAGAGTAATTGCTCTGCATTGTTGTATTTTAATATATTTTAAAAATGATAGTATTCCTAAATCAGTGTTCCTTTACTTTCAAAGAAAGATTACCAGTACTGCAAGTTTTTTAAATTAATGAAAAAAACCTTTTAACCTGCTTTAAAAAAAAAGAAAATACCTTCATAATGGTACACAACTGCAGTAGTAGACAGCCCTTTTTTAATACCTAATGTGTAGTAAAATGAAAAACAGTAATTGGATAGTTCATGGAAACTTTGATTTCTCATTTGTATTTGAATATTTTTGGGTCACAGGGTCTTGAAGACAGCTTGCTTGAAAACATTTTCTTGAAATAAAGGGATAAACTTATGCATATTCAGGATGCAAATTACTGTGAAGTAACCTTAATGTGAACTGATGAAAATGATCTGTGGAGTGATACGTAGTCTGGTAGATATGGTGATGAATTTGGAATTCTTGTACTTTCCCCTGTTTTCACTGAAATCTTTAGTCTTATCTGAATCTTTTGTGATACTGAATTTTTTTCCTTCAGGTTGTGTTGCTGTTCCTCCTGACTAATGCCATTGGGCTCTTTTAGAACAAGAAAAATGAACAGAATTATTACATACTGCGAAGCACTGTGGCTACATTCCATAGGTTTAAGTACTGTCTCGCTATAAATCTAGTCGACAGGGAGATAGAAACTTCTTTGTTAAACTTTGTAAACAAAATACGAAATTTGAGTTTTGGTGCTGTTCACTACTGTTGTGCAGAAAAAATATTTCCAAATAAGCTTCCTTAACCCTCCTGTCTAGTCCTGCATGCTATTCTTATAATGGTTCAAGCAACAACCCTTAATGTGGCCTTCAACTCCCACAATAAATCACTGCTTACCATCATGATGTCCAATAATGTAAGTATGTAACTTTGTTATATAGCTACTCTAATTTTTTCAACATCCTTCATCTTTGTGTATCATATGTCTGAGTGCATATTATTTGATTGTCTGATTTGTTTATATCAGTTTTTTATCAATAACATCTAACTAAATGTTTTTAAAAATTGCAGTTCGTTGAAATAAAAGGAAGCGTCTTCAAGAAATTTGAGAAGAACAATCTTTTTCAGATGTCAAATAGCGGTATGTATGTCTATGCTAATCAGGAGAACATGTGAAGTGAGAGGCTGGGTTTATTTGATTTTATTTAACGTTATTGTTAAACAGCTTTACCTTGGTTAATTTGAGCATTCTGACTTAAGTTCCTCATCTCCACTATTACTGTTTGGTTCAGTAGGATGAAACTGGGATTCTACTTCCAGGAACACTGTTTTTCCTTAAGTGGCTTGTTTTTATTTGAGATGCTAAAAGAACCTCTTGGCTGTGTGCTAAAGTTGTTATTAAGTATGAATTTCATATTTAAGTTACAGTATTCAAAATATCCATGCTTCAAAGTGTCTGAAGTCTTCTGTTTTCAAAAAGTTGACTTTGTAGCGTGCTATGTTGATAGTGATCTCGGAATGCATGATGTTTGGCAGTTGTGAGGATGGATCTTGAAATACTTCCCCCCTCCCCAGAAAGAGTATAAAGATGAAGTAGCTGGCTTATGAAGGAAATACCAGAGATGACTGTAACTTTTGACATGTCGTCAAGATAATAGTAGAGGGTACTTCGGAAACATGTTATGCTTCTGGCAATTCTTAACTGTGTTGCTACTTAGTATGAAATTCAGGAACTCTGATTCAGCATGTCTCATGAGGAAAAGCTGTTAGAGATATCCTTTCATGGAGGTTCTTTCTCATACTGATATCAGCCATCTGAAGTATTTGTTGAATTCTTGGTTTCAAAACTAATAGGAGAGATTGCACTGTAAGGTTGTACTAGAGCTTCTTTGCTTGTAATATTTTCTGATCTTTGAACACATTTGTTTCTGTTACTTTGTGCATATGACTTTTTTGGTCAAAGCTATTCATACAGATAAGCAAAAAAAATAGAATTTTTTTTTCATTCCAACTCGTAGTTTTTTAAACCAGAGAACTCAAATGTTCAGTCAGTTAAAAAAAAAAAAATGTAGCTGCTTATTTAAAAACAGATGATTTGGACTTTTTAACAAGAGTTAAGCTTTTAGCAGGCTTGTTTCAGGTTTTAAATTCTGGCTGTTGATGTGATTTTTGTCTAATTCATCTACAAACTGCAGTGATACTACATGCAAGTGTTAAATGGCAATTGTTTTGTGATGCTTTGGATGAAAGACTTTTTTACGTAAAATCTTAAATATATCACATAAGAGAAAAATTAGCATTAAATTTTAATCTACCTTATAGAAGTCCTTGAAACCCCCAAAAAATAATCTTCCCAGTTGGATTGATAAGGTGTTTATTCTGTGCTAACAGTATGTATATCTGGTTCCAAGATTTAAAACTTACATTTTAAAAACTAAATGTATTTAACTTTACAGTGAGAACATCTAAAAGTTACGTTTACTAAAATATAGACAGAAAACATAGATGAATTTTCTTAAATTTTCTCTTATTAATCACAATACTAGCAGAAAATAGCTACAAGTATGCACCTTGCTCTCCTACTGAAAGATGAGGCATCTTTCTCGATTTCAATGTTGAAATAAATGAGGGATTGCTATTAGAAATGACTAGTAATTTCCTCCATAAAAAGCACCTGCAACAATATGCTAGAAGAAACATATATCAATATTTTATTGCTAGACATTATTTTTGAAGACACATAATAGCAGTATCAGGTCTGCCTTTATCACTTGATGGAAAAAGTGATACCATTCATTATACCATATGAGGATAGAAGCAGGTAAGTACATACACAGAAGAGTGCACAAAACAAGCGAATTTATTCCCTTTGGATAGCTTTTCCTGGACACTTCTCAGTATGGTTACAAATAGCAGTGTTTTTCTTCTAATAGATAAATAACGTGGACAGGTTTTTAGGAGAGATTTTCAGCTCTTTTACACTTGGACAGATTTACTGCCTTACAGCTTCAGTAAGGAGGAATCGGCATGGCTTCAGTTTATGTATTCTGGGAACTTTGTTATCCTTTAAATGCTTTATTTCCCACAGCTGAAATGGTAGGACGTCTTGCGTCGGCGTGCTATGCCAATGCTATATCCTGCCCCTGGAACTAAGGCTAGTCTGGTCCTGTGGACTGAGCTTTCAGTTAGCCTTTGGAGTGCATTGTGTGTCCTAGAACATGATATGCTTAAACTGCATGCCTGGACTGAACTAAACTGCTAAAATAAACCACTAAATGTAGGTTCCTCCATGTATTTCCCACCTTTCTCAATTTCTTCCAGCTGTTTTCTCAGGTCTGCAGTCTCTGCTGTAGGACGACAATGGCAACAGAAGCAGATTAAGCTTAGACAGAATGAAAGGATGCCCCTTTGTTATGGTGCTCTGTTCAAAATGTTACTGTTGTCTCAAACATGGTTTAAATTCAGTGAAAAGGTACTGATTAGTACAGAGAAGCTAAATATACTAGTTCTGGGGATGAAAAAAATAAGGTCAACCTCATAGAGGCATGTGAGGAACTTGTCATGGATAGGTGAAGCTCCCTTCTTATTTAACATGTTAATCAAAAGAGAAATATGAACTAGCAGAAAAGATATCAATGACCTCAAGAGTAGACATTGTGATCAAGAGCAGTTGCTACAACAAAAGCAAGTAGTGACAAAACAAGGGGCAACAGGCAGAAGCTGGAACACAGGAAGTTCTGCTTGAGCATGAGGAGGAACTTCTTCACTCTGATGGTGACAGAGCACTGGAACAGGCTGCCCAGAGGGTCTGTGGAGTCTCCATCTCTGGAGATATTCAAAACCCATCTGGATGTGGTCCTGTGCAGCGTGCTGTAGGCTAAGCTGCTTTGGCAGGGGAGTTGGACTAGATGATCTTCAGAGGTCCCTTCCAACTCCTACTGTTCTGTGAAGTAATCTTGTGAATAGAAGCATGAAAACAGAAATGAACTCTTTCAGTTCTACTTTCTAAGACGTGTCCTATGTCGTGCATTGAAATGCCTTGCAAAGCTCTGCATGGTATTGAAGACTATGGTGTAAGACACCAGGACATGAAGTGCCACCAAAGTACCAGTTTAGATCTGGAAATCATGAAGTCAGTTTCACTTGGCATTGTGCTCAGTGCTGGCTCATGGATAGCAAGCTGATGTGTGGCTGTACCATTTTTCCCAGTATTTACAGTTATGGATTTAGTGTCAGTGGAGTCAATGATCTTTCTCACCTTTCTATGGCCATGTAAAATTCTGCTGTAACAGCTAATGCATTAAAACTTAAGGACTAAAAGAACTGTGAATCATCTACATAAAAACTAATTGAACAGACCATCAGATATACTTTGGTTGCACAGTTATCTAATAAAACCAAACCTGCTATCTTTTAGGTGCAGGAGGTCAACAAAGATCCTGGGGTTTGTATAGCTGCTTGAGACTGCAGCTGCAGAATTTGTGATTTCAACCATATTGGCTCCTCAAGCTTTGATTTGTCAGTTGCAGCAAAACTACTTTTGCATTGTCACCCTGATTTTTACCAAGAAATTTAGGTAAATCAAGCAATCTAAACACTGTGGCCACTGGAAAAGACTTCTATACAGAAGACACAGAAGTCACAACTTATATATGTTGTACAATGAAGAAGTATCTCCCTAAATTTAAATAGTGTATTCTCTTTCTGAAATAGGTTTCTGTGAGCTAATTTTGTAGGGCTCAGAGAACGAGGAGACCAAAATTATAAAGAAAAATCCTTTCATCATTGTTGAAAGCCCAGCATGCTGTCTTCCTTTGTGCTTTTAAATGTCTTACTTTTAATTTCAAGCTGTGCTCTAAACTGCTTTTTTCAGAAAACACAATTGTACCTCACATGAAAAGGTACATTAGGTGCAGTGCATGGTGCTATTTGCTTCAGTTGGCTGGCCAGATTATTCCTATTTTTTGAATCTCTTCTCTCAAAAATTTAACATATTTATTCTGAAGCTTTAGGAACTTTAGGGGTTTTTTTCTTTATAATTTCTCACCTTTTTTTTTTTTTGTTAATTCTGTTCTTTCTGCTTTCTTCCCAATTTATCAGTCTCTTTGGCTTTGATCAAAATACTGAACAACCTGTACTTTTATCTTTGGTCTCTGGAATTTAAGCTTGTGGCTTTAGTTTTTGTTAATTCCATTATTCTAATCCAGTTGTTCATTTTAAGGATGAGGGATTTGGGGACAGGAGTACATTGATGATTCCATGTTCAGTTTTTGATCTTTTTTTGTGCTCTGGTCACATTTTAAGATGCAGTTGTTCTAGAGCTACTGAGGATTTGCTGAGATGTAAACCAAAACATCTTGTTTCTCTGCTTACTTGCTATGATTTATAACCAGCTTTTGATCTAAACATATAAACAGTGAGATTAACATGATAAAAATTATTTCTTTCCTTCCTGATCAAGAGTTCCTGCATGATGTGTCAGGGAATCTGGAAGGAAATAACTATGTGTTCTAAAGACTTTTCTCCGCAGGAGAGCAGAAATGCCATTTCTGGATCTCTGTGCCTGAGATCTTCACTGCCGCCCTTGTTAGCTGCCACTGCAAAGTACTTAAGTTCTTCAGAGTTCAGGTCCTTCCTGAATGAGTTCAGTCATCAGTTGTTTGGCATGTTGGCTAATTAATTACACTAGTCCATACTAGATACAGTGCTGTCCTATGAACATTCTTCATTTCCAATGACATCCGTTTCTGTAGTCTCTTACATGTGTTTTAAAAGTGATGATACCCTCCAGCATGCTGGCCATTAAACTTCTGGTCTGTGGTGTTGTTAGTTCTTTAAACTGAATGTCTCCATTTTCCAGAAGGATTTATGGAAGGGCAGAATGTCTTTGTTAATATGGGCATAGAATTCCATTCCACTCAGAGTGGCAGGGTTGATGTAAGCGAGGCGAATGTATTTCAAATCTGATTTGGCTATGTGCAATCCTTTTTTGGGCTTTACTTCACAGAACCAGTAGAAAAAGTACATCTTGCTTTTTCCCCCCTGTTGCATTTATGGCAGTGTGCGCATTACTGGCTTTGAAATAAATGTTTACCACCTCTATTGGTACAACAACCCGAACAGGCGCATGTGACTTATCTTCATGGAAGAAGGTATATTGTGGTTGGATTTTGTCACATGGCCACTAAATTCTGATGTACTGAATTTTGGAATGTCTGATTCTTCCTTTTGCTTTTCAATATACTGAAATACAGGTTTTAAAGGAAACTGCAAAGATTTAATTATATGTAGTCATTTGCAGCACCAGTGGATGCATGGAAGCACAAGCAAATTCAGTGTCATCTTTCAGAATAGTCTAAAGCGTATATGGGCAGTATATAGTATGATGTGTGGCCAGGCTTCAGGGCCAGCCCTATGAAGAGCACAGTTTAAGCACCATATTGGAATGCAGTCTATGCATGGTATGTTCTGATGAGAGACCCGTCAGGAGGATAAGTGTATCTGAATTAGTGGTAGATGGCAGTTCTTCAACACTTAGGAGTATAAACAGTGAGAAAGTAAGCTGCTTAATCATGCTTGTGGAGGTAGCTGGAAGACCATTTAAAATGTCCTTGGCCTGTTGTTTCTGCTGTCATTTAACCCTGTCTTATAATGGAAAGAGTTTTTAAAGCTTCACTGTACTCTAACTGAAAAACAATTTATGATACACTCATCACCAACACTTTGTGGTATAAGTTCGAAACTGAGTTGAAATTACTTATATCAGTGTTATTAAGGATTGTCATGATGGAGAATGAAGAATAGAGATCCTTTTTTCTTCCCACTTTATTCTTCGTCATGCTAAAGCAGAATAGAGACATTTTCTTGTCCCAGTACCTGTGCTCTCTGTAACTGAACACTAACACTGGTGGCTTGTCACTGTTTCTCCAGGTTCACAAATACAGTAATTTACTTTCCTTTTGTTGCTCTTTAAGAGCATAATGTCTGTAAGTGTGAATCTAGGGACATAGCCTCATTGTTCTGTAGTTCACCACATCATCTAAGAAGTGTCAATACATGGTACAGGAAATTCCTCTCACCTCTTTAAAAAAAAAAATACATGTACATATACAACATCAAATAAGTTCATAATAAATGATGAAACATTATTAGGGCATATTTTGTATTCTGACATTTTAATGGGTGTTTAGGACTGATTACCATTGGTTGTTTTGGATATCCTGAAGCCTTTTTTTGTCCTTGTCCATGAGGATGAGAAATGAAATTAATTTCTGAATCATTTGGGTTTACTGTTTAAGCTGCTGTAAAATGCCTGTTCTCCCCTGCTTGTGTCTGTGACAATCAGTTGATGAGAGGGATGAGGATGCAGAAGAGTGGCCACACTCATTCCTTTCGCTCCCAGCAGCCTTGAACAGCTGTGGCAGCAGAGATAAGATTAGAAGGGAGGCTGGTGAGAACAGGAAAAATAAGCAGAGGGGAAAAATAGATGTCAGCCTGTCATCCAGTCTCAGAAATTAGTGGGGGAAAAAATGTTTATTATTACAGCATAAGAGTAAATTTAAGGCCAAAGATGCCCCTTCTCAATTTAATCCTGTTGACTGGTGAGCTAACATATACTGAGTAGATCAGGATCTTAAGGATTGGCTTGAAACATGCTTTAATGTTTAGACCTGAATTAAGGTCTTCACTTTCTACTTGAGAATTGCTGTCTTTACACACCTTCCTGGGATGTGAAGCACTAAAGATGGGATCTGTGTGTTATCTTACACATTGCTGATCAATGATGTGTCATGGCAGCGTGAAAGAATGCAGTGTGGGAAATAGAAGAAATCTTTTTGAGATTTTGGGCAAAAGTCTGAAAACTCAGTGATTAAGTGATCAAGTCACTAATGGGTGCGATAGAGAAGATAGATCAAGGAATGCTACACAGCATTTTAATCCATTGGTAACAGTGCCAAGTGGTACTTCATCACTAGATTTACTATAAAAATACTGTGTTCTGGTAATCTGGGCAGTATTTGCTGAATTCAGAAGCACGGAAGAACATACCTCACTTGTTGGAGTGCTATTGGCAGGAAACCAAGAAGTTAGGTTTAGGGCTTCACCTATGTCCTGGTTTTTTTGGTATTTAAATTTATTTTACTGAAGGACTTGCTGGTTTCTTTCCCCATACGTGTGCCACTTGTTCTGTTTTGGAAATTGGTGCTTGCTCTGATCCTTCCCCAGCCCATACTGAGATGAGTTTATATACCCCAAAATGTGCCTTTTTACATGCGAGGATGCTATCTCATTCTTCTGGAATTCTGTGCGGTTTTCATTCCCCTCTCCTGGAGGAGTTGTTCTGTTTTTTGCTCCCTTCCTTCAGGCTTGCCAGTGTTTTGAAACTTCTTTTCTAAAAAGAGGCATATTGTTATACTAGAATATAGTCTAGTATGAGCATTGTTGCTGGTCTGTAGTCAGAGATTATGGAAGCTGCTGACACAAAGTCAAATATATTTTTGGCCGACTCGATCCTTGTATGTTCTTCTGAACACTTCTGTTTCTTGTGTCCTAAAACAGGTAGGTAGAACCCCACAGAATACTTGAGGTGCCTAAGGAAATGAACCCTTCAGATTTGGAGATGACTTGCCCACAAAGAACTTGCTATCATGGTTATTAACAGATATAACAAGTGATAACAGTATCTTCAGAGTTTCATAATAATTCTGTCTTCTAAAGTGACTTCTTCAGACTTGCTAATTCGTGGTGACATTATGTTTTAGGGTTTACCCCATTTTCCAGTAATACAATTTCAGGGAGGTTTTTTAATATGTTAAAAATACAATGCTTCCTGAAGCGAGTTGTATGGGTTTCTTCTGGAGATAGAGCACAGAAGTAGACAAAAAGACCCTACATAGTCTGGGAGGGCAAGTCATAGGACTCCATCTCAGGTCGGACTGCTTTTGTGTTACAGTTCTTACGGTTTTGATAACTGAGCTGATAAATCCTGCTGGTCCCTTTTAAGGTGGCAATGTGTAAGACTAGTAGCAACCTTCTAAATAAGGTGTAATAGTTGTCTTGAAACATGGTTGGGGTTTTATTTCTTCTACTGGACCCAGTAGATAACAACTTGAATATCTGTGATCTGTAGAAAATGAAATTTGCCTTGCTAATAACTTGAAATGACAGACAGGTGTATTGTCTCCATTTTTGCACCAGGAGGTGCTGGTTCTTTTTGAATCTCACAAGAAATGCAAAAATTTTACCAAAAAAATGTGACTCCTATTAACGTATTAGAAAGGGTGATAGCAAGTCACAACTTAAATCCCTTCTGATGCTGTTAACTCCAAGTTGATGCAGCATCAGACAGACCTCCAGTCAGGCTGCAGCATACTGCAGAGATCCTGTCCATGGTGAGGTTCCCAGCATCCCCTCCCTGCAAATCAAATCAAATAATTTGTGGAAAAGATTGTCTAATCGAAGACTTAATACATGATACAACCTCAGAATGAGTAGATACCTATGTATGCAAATAAATGTTTCTTTGGAGTTGACAGCTTATTTTCTTTTAACTAGATATAAAGGAGAGGTTCACTAATTACGTGCTGCTACTAATTGTATGTCTAAGAAATATGGAACAGTTCTCATGGAATCCAGGTGAGTAAACTAGTGGCAAAATTAAATACAAAATCACAAATTCCTCTGCTATAAACAGCTCTTATTTCTTGCTTCTTTCCTCAATCTGAAAGATTAGAGTAACCAGGGCATTTAATTGAGGAATCTTAGTTTGTCAAACACCTTAGATTCTCATTTTTCTATTTCTGCCTTGTCAGAGTCCTTTCTGCTAGAAGTATATGCTGTTACGCTACAAACATGCATAGTTAGTTTCAAGTAGTGTCTTGAATGATTTCTTCCCAGCCCTTCCTTTCCTTGGAGTATATTGAGGATGAAGGATCCCCTAGAGAATTCTATTTAGTGAGGCTAGTGAGATTGAAATCTGATAGAAGATTATGTAAAAATTTCCATTCATAACTTAATATTGATTATACTTAGGATTTTAGTACCATAATGAATAACATTGAGTAAAATCTGGATTTTATTTTATTAAAACTTGGAGCCCTGGTCTGTGTGCTGTATTTTGCTTGATGTTACCAGTCTAACCTAAACTTTACATTAAGCACCTAAACCAGCAGGTCTCTGTCTATTCCTCATGCATACTGAACATCTGCTATGTAGTATGTGCAAAGGTGGTCTTCCTAGTAGAGATAAAGTTTTATGAATTGAAGGCTTTAAAACCTGATCCTGGTTGAGATGTGATTGCATAGTACTAAGTTTCTACAACAGCAAATGAATAAGTAAGGACTTGGGCAATTCAAGCCGAGTTGTGATGTAAAGTTACAGATCCTTCAGACTGTTGAGGATTTTTCACTGTTGAGCAAAAGTGTTATAATTTTTGTTTCGTATACTGGTGTCAAATTAAATGACCTAACTTGTTTCTTCCCAACCTTCAGATCATCTTTGGGTGTTATTCCCAGATGTTTGCATGGTGGTTGCTTCAGAAATTGCGGTGGATATTGTGAAACACGCCTTTATAACAAAATTCAATGACATCACAGCAGATGTAGGTATCTGGTTTGGAATGCTGAGTCCTGTTTTAAGTTGTAGTTTATTTTGCTAATTTTTTTAAATATTAAAATTTATTTCAGTACAGAAAATGTAAAAATTGTTATTTTCATCTATATGATATAATTTGGGAAAGCTTCATAATTTCCTGATATACTTCTGAGTATCTTTACAGTGTGGAACAAACACCTCTGCTTCTAAATTAGTAGTTCCAGATCCATAAGTTATTGAAAGTGCTGTAGAACAGTTCACATAATAACTACAATTCCTATAACTGGCAGATCATTTTGTGCAGTGATCACTAGGTAAATTGACAGAAGGTACTTGTTCTGCAGTCTAACAGAATGGAATGTAGGTTAAAGATCTTGTGAGGCTGCTGAATCTCTGTTCTTGCACGTATGTTAAACGTGGAATCTGAAATTGCAGATATATTTCTCCACTGTCCCTGGAGCACTAACATGGAGTAGGTTATGTTAGTTTCCCACTCCTGAAATTTCTTAAGCCGTGTATATTATGCAGTCCTTCTTTTGAAGTAGTAGATGGGGTTACATTTTGTGTGTTGTAGCATGGTACGTTAGCCATTTGTCTTGCATGTTGTGATTGTGAATTCAAATGCATTTGATAAATCTGTGAAGAGATGAGTTAGAATTTTTTCACTTCTAAAACCGCTTTTCAGGAAATGAGATCAGAACTTGCAAGTGCTATCTTTTTCAGCATCTCTGAAGAAACTACATTGTGCGGTGTAGAAACAAGTTTAATAGATGCACTTAATAAGCTCCCTTCCGCCAGAGGCATTTATGCATGCCCTACTTTCATACAGAGAGTGGGGAGAAGAGCAATAATGAAGTCGTGATAGCCAAAAATGTAGCATGCTTCAGTGTGCTGAAACAGCTGGAGGATGGGCAGACTGAGTGACAATTTTGCAAGGTTTATTTAACAAATTTTGTATTTTTTGTATGAAATTCTGAAGATTTATGGTTGCTAGGTTAGACTTTTCCAGAAGTTTTGAACACCTGCAATGCAGGTTACCCTGCCACTTACCCTTAAAATAGGTGTTTTTCTGTCTTAATGTGCAGAACTGTTTTAAAGAGAAAGAAAAGCTTCGTTCATCTTCTGATACAATTTGCTTTTTTAGTTGGGATCACTTGCTTAGAATACAAGTAAGCTTTCTCATTTGTTTAATTTGATCCCAGTGCTACCTTTCATGTAGCTGAACCGTAGGAAAAAAGTGAACGTGATTTCTCTTACTTTGTGCTTCTGGTTATCCTCAATTCAGTAAATGCTTTATGATGTCTCATTCTAAAACACAGCATAGTGTTGTTTTGTTTGGCGTATATATACGCAAGGGACTTTATTGCAGAAATACAGACTCATCTCTTGAAGGGTGTGATTAGACCTCAGAAAAACTGGCTTTGACTCCTTCAGCCTGTGCATGACTGTTTGTAATATTTTTACAGAAATATTTTATTGATATCTCTGTTGCTTCCATAAAGTGTGATAACAAATTAATCACCCATCCGATGTGCTGGATTTTTTCCAGGTCTACAGTGAGTACAGAGCCAGTCTTGCATTCGACCTTGTTAGCAGTCGACAGAAAAATGTAAGCCTGAAAATAAAGGCATCTTCTTGTATTAACTAACGTAATTATTATGGGGGGAATATTGGAACCGATACTTAAAGAAATACATACAGTACTGTTACACTCCTATGGCACTGAAATTCTACTTTGCCGGTTTTTAATAAGAGGTAACAGGAATATTTCCTTGTGATTATACTCTTTATTTTTACTCAGTTTTTCAGGTCAGTTCAGGCTTTACTTAATGTATTGTTGAGAAGTCTCTTCCAAATACACTTAGAGTCAAGGGATGGTTGTAACAGCTTTGACATTTTTGAGATACCTGGGAAGTAAGCAAGCTTAACAAGATGTTCTTGAGATACTTCAAGTTACTGTTCTTTTGCTTTATTTTAACTGTGTTGGATAAAAATACAGTATTCATTATGAATTTATATTATGTCTTCACAAACAGCCTGTACAGATGCATAGGGGTGTTTGTACCATGCATGTTACTATTGTGGCATGGTTATTTACAGAACACACAGACTGCTTGTGTTTTTCGTTAGTGCTGCTGTTTGGATGACTACAGCACACCTTTCCTGGATGAGTCTCTTAACTATGAGTGCTCTGAATGGGTGCTCTAACTATTAAATGAACTTTATTATAATAATCTATGTAGTTTTCTTGGGCATGTTTAATAACTATTGCTAGGAATGCAGTAGTTATACCTCATAAAGAAGTTAGATATCTTCAGTTGCAAATAATCAATTATTAATAATTTGTTAATTAAAAAGTGGTTTCTTCATTCTGAAAACTCCCATTACTTTTCCTAAGGATCCTCTGTGGAAAATGAGATAGTGTTGTACAGGTGTTAACTGTGGCATGACATTCAGTACTGTGTGAAAGCTGTCATGCAAAGTAGTTGTGATTTGAGAGTTCAAATGTAAACATATTTTCAAAATTATTTTAACACAATTATCCTGAGGCTAATTATGGATGTTTGTAGAATGATTTAAAATTGCTAGTGTGATGGATAATTGTTCTTCTATTCCTGTTATGGGTTTTTCTATGCAGTATTTGAGGATCAAAGTCAAATTAATACAAAAAGGTCTCTAAGCTAGTCATAGTGTACAGGTGAAATATCATAGCATGTTTGGATTCAGTGCCCTAATTGCTCTTGATTTAGAGGTTTGTATTATACTCCAGTTGCTCTTCATTTAGAGCACTGAAACTAATCTTACTGGTCATGGTAGTGTTACATTTTTGTCTGAGTACAGCATCTGCACTTGAATTTCAAAATGTAAATAGGTACACTTTATATCAATACAGTGTTTGTTAGCAGAGATAATTCTTATCTAGAGGGTGTGCCAACCTAAAAGAAGCTCATTCCTGTGCATAAATAGTTGTTATTCTTCCTCTTTTTTTTTTCCTAGGCGTATACAGATTATAGTGATTCAGTTTCCAGAAGAATGGGTTTCATTCCTCTTCCACTGGCTGTTTTAGTAAGTTGTATCTTTCCTATCAGTTTTCTGATAGGTTTTTTTTTATGCCCATGAGATAACTGGCTCATTTTGATGTTTTGAGGATGAAATTATCACCTTAAGTAACTGAGATTCTGCTGCAAGGCTGAGTTAGCATTCAGTATGACCTATATCACATACTAATTATGACTTCATGAATATGTTACTGTTTATCAGCCTTTTATAGAAAATCGAATATATATTAATTTTACAGAATTTATAAGCACTGGAATTGTAGCAGTGGAATTAAACTACATCTGTGGTTATTAAACATTTATTTCTTTTGGCAATTATCCTGTTTATTCATTCGGAATAGTCAAAGCAGCTGGTTGCCAGAAGGTTAGTAGTAGTGTTCCAGGGGGTTTTTTTTTAGGTTTTTCATACAAGTCCTTGTGGTTGTCCCTGTAATGGTATGCTTAATGGCTAAGTTTTCTTTTATATGAGGCACTGAGCTCCTGAGCTGTTGCAGAATACGTGATTCTGAAATAGTTGACCCTGTTACATGGACATGCTGATATAAAATGAATCACTTCATTAATAGAATTGTGTCCACATGCTGTCTGTTCTGAATTAACTATTGCAGAATGTTTTCTGTAAATAGTGGCTCTGACTTTGCCCATACGCACATGTAGACAAGCAGTAGTTATCATAATACTGGAGATGTGTCCTTGCTTTACCAGCAAAGATGATAATTCATAATATTCCTGAAAGAATACCAAAATGAATTAACTTTTAAATGTCATTTTCGCCCACACACATGGGGAAAAATACCATTAACAGACTTTGCCTAGTTTTTATCCAGGATTAAAAAAAGAAACAAACAAAAACCAACCACCACCAACAACAAAAAACACACCACAAATAAACACAAACAAACAAACAAAAAAACAAACAAAAAACAACAGAACAACTATGATCATAATCACAATTTCTTTTATAACTAAGTAAAGCACATCTAGGGAGAATTCGATTGAAATGCTCTTTTCAAGTTAATTGTGTTCTGATATGATATCCTGGATACTAATAGGTTTAAAAGAAACTGAAGTGCTTTGCTAACGTGGAACCCTAACTGTGAATTACTGAAGTAAAACTGAGATTTCAGAAACTGTTGTAACTGAAGCTTGGGATTCATGTGCCTAGTCCACAAAGCAATTTCATATTCAAAATGTTAGCGTAGTGTGGAACACTGATTGTGTTCTACTGCATCAGCATCTCTTGACGTTTTCCTCAAAAGCTGTTAACTCAGCTTCCAGCCCTTGACTTTTGGGGAGTTTATTTTGCTCGTTGTTTTACTTGGAAGTCAGTGGTGAAGGAAACATTATCAGACTGTAGTTTTGGCAAAGCTGCAACTAGGTGCTAGTATAATACTCAAACCAAAATCTTGAGTAGTTAGCGCTACCAAGGGGGACATTAGAATAAATTTCTGTTAATGTAAGTATTTTTACTTTTGTCTTGAATTTTACCAAATAAGAAATGTCTGTTAAAATATTCTATTAATAATTGTGTGTTATATTTTTTAACTGTTTAACTTTTATCCTTAAAACAGCTCATCAGAGTCGTAACAAGCTCAATAAAAGTACAAGGAGTCTTAGCTTATGTTTGTGTTGTGCTGTTCTACTGTGGGTAAGTAAATGCACGCAATCGAAAGGTGTTTACTATTATTTGATCAGATATGTGAAAAAAGCTTCTGTTGAGATTTCTAGATGTAAGTGTAAACACAGTTTGTGTTCAGTAGAACACGGATGTAAAACATGCTGATAAACTGAAATTGGGAGTGCAGCATGGTCCCCAAGTACTGTGACTGCATTGGGGGATCACAGCCCTCAATAAGTAATGTCAGTAACGAAAATAACTCCTGGAAAAGTGATTGAAAGTATTTGACGGACAAGCACTGTACTTCTGCATAAAAGGGGAAATTGAATTCTAAGGGATGAAACTTTCTGTGAAAAGGATGGAAGATTCAATATGCCAACAAAAATAAGCAGTTTAAGTGCTCAGAGCAGATTGTGAATTCTTCTCTCAAAGCAAGGTTTCTTTGTGTTAGGAAACTGCTCTATGAAAAAAAGTAGATGCATCTTTCTGGGAAAGGTGGGATCAGTAAGTAATCGTAGTTAAGGAATGTAATGTCCTACGGCGTTTGTTTTCCAAAACCACTGTATCCCTTTACTGCCCAGTCAGTTTATACTTGTGTTACCCTTAACTTCTCACCAGTCAATACGTACTTCTGAGATGCGTTTAGTTGTACTATAAATCCAGTCTAGTTTGCTTGTCTTGAGACACTTGCTGTAGACTATATGGGGATGACCAGTTCCTAGGAAAGCTGCATACTGAAGTGTGTCAGTGTTTGTCGTCTCTCAGTGCTGATTGATATTGGAGTCCTCCTAAAATTGATCAGAAAGAATTAAGTGATTCAAATTGCTGCAGCACAGAGAACCTGCCTAGAGTGTTGTGGAAATACCTCTTCCAATGCCCTACCAAGTTGTGTTTGTAACTGAAGGCAGCAAGGCTTGGGCAGTAAAAGACTCCTAGGTCTGGGGTCAGGTACACTGGAAGAGAGGAGGCTGCTGGTTTATGACACTTTATGAAAAGAATGGGATTACTACTTATTTTTTATGAATAGGTAGATTCTTATCTCTAATCTGACCTTGATCTGCAAAAAAAGTAGAACTTGGTCTGATGTGTCTAGTCCACATCAGCGTAGAGACATCTCTCTTTAGTGTTGGATAACTTGGACGTTGAGATAATTGCGTATAGGCCAAATATTGAAATGTTAGCCATATTCTTCTGCACCGTACTTCGATTACTTCCCCAGCATACCACGTGCTGTGCCCATGTTCTCGCTAAAGCCAGCTCTATATAATTGAAAGCATTAGGTGCTGATTGTCACATTCAAGCTGTGATATACCAAGCTCAACACCTTCATTCTGCTCAGTGGATTTTTCTTTTTCCCAAAATATGTAATTTTTTTTCATTCCACTGCTGCAGCCCAGTCCTAGATTTTTGCCTGTCTCTGTAGCTTGGAGGATGGAGAGCGGGAGGAAGTAGTTTGATTTACATGAAGGGTTTAAATGCTGGTTTTTTGAAGGCGTAGGTCACAAGAGTAAATACATTTTGATTTATTTTATCCTTATTGGAAAGTGAGAACAGATTTCTACTTCTGCCATGATCTCAGATTTGGAGCTAACTCTTGCATCCTTCAAGTAATTTGTGTTCTTAACATGAATTTCAGCTTTTCCTCAGTTTAGTATAGCACAGATATGTGAGAAACAATGTGATAAAATCCGAAACATTTAACTGGACAAAGGATTGAGACTGTAATGTGGAGGACATTGTTTTGTATTGATATTTAGCAACTGTAATGCTGCAAGTTATACTGTTAGAGTCTTGCCTGGCATAGAGTTTTGTTTTTCTAGGATTTTGAAAACTGCAAACTTTCATTGTTGTTAGAAATTTGAGCCTGGGGTGGAGTGGCAGAAAAAACAAAGGAGAATCACTAGAAACTCTTGCATAATTTTCCATGAGAAGCTGGCACTGATACAGTCAAGTGTTGATTTATGGCCTTTTCAACTTCTGATCTCATTAAATCAGAGTCAAATCATACTGTAAACACCTACTCAGAACAAAGGCATGTTACATAAAGAGTGTAGGAAAAACACCTCTAAAACTTACTAAAAACAGAGGAGAACTTCCCGACTCTCAGAAATAAAATCTGTGCCAATAAGCTAATAAAATTGTAGAGAATCATGGCTTTCAACTTGTATAAGATGATATCTTCTTTGTGATTGCTTGGATACTAAAATGTCAGTTTCTTCTGAGTACTGAATGTGGTCTGCTGTGCTTATTCTTCCATTTCTGTAAATTTCTTCTACAAGTAAATGTATTGCATAAAGTTCCCTTAAGGGTGCAATGTACTTTGTTTTTCTCTTTGACAAGTTCTGGTTACGTTAATGCAGTGAGTGATAGTGAAGCTGCTGCTGAAGTGTGGGGGTCACTTTGTGATTAAGAGTTAGACCTGCTCCATGAATCTGTGAATGTTCTCTTTAAGTCTTTTTAGTCTATTAGTGATGTACATAAAAACCAGATTTTTACAGAGTGGAGAATGAATTTAGAGTCTGCGTTTGGTTCACTTTCCTCCCATAGGTTGATTTGGATACAGAATGTTTATATTCATCCTACAGAGAATAGATCACTATTTCCATGTTCTGTAGTGAGCCTTCACCTCTGCTTTCACCTCTGGAATAGGCATTGGTTTGCGTGTTGTGTGATACTAGTAATGGAACTTAGTTTTTACAGAGCTCATTTGAGTTGTAGATCTAAGAGCAGTTGATGGTAGATGAGACCTTCCTGTTCTTCAGATGAGAAGAAGGTATAAAAGGGACTTCAATGATTTGCTGAAGTTTGTGCTGCAGATTAGTGATAGTAGAAGAGGAGTCTGCCATGAACTGAACCGTGCCATGATGGCAGTGCAGTGCTGCCTCTTTGGATTTGTTGAGTTTTATGGACTGTCTTTTGTGATGTGAAAAAGGACTTTTTATGATTAGTCTGTAATTCATGTAAGCTAGATATTTGCTTTCTTGTGGTTCAAAGTGCACTAGTGATTCTTGGCTGGGTACACATAAGGGTACAGTTTTAATTGTAGTGCGTTTAATTTGGACTTGCACTGTTGAGGGACCTTTTTAGTTCTCTGTTTTAATACATAATGTATTAAACGGCTGCTTAACTATCCTTGTAGTCCTTCTGTTAAACTATGATAAAACTTGATGTTTTTCTCTAGATGCTTTCTGGAAAAAGTTAAGCATTGAATCTGAAACATTGTTAGGACAAGGAAATTACCTTTTGATCTTGCTATTGAAGGGATTTAATTTGTTAGCTAATCCTTGCAAGATAGCAATAACCATATGCAATTATTTTAATATGCTAATGCCAATACGTAAACGAATCCTTTTATTTTTTCAGATTAATATCTCTGAAAGTCCTTAACAGTATTGTATTGCTGGGGAAATCATGTCAATATGTAAAGGAGGCGAAAATGGAGGAGAAATTATTCAATCCTGTCCTGACTGCCACCCCAGGGAAGCCGGCTGGCAAACAGCAAAGCATGTTTAAATCTACCCAAGGTAAGGCTAACTGCCTAGTTTTGTTTTCAACTGTAATGAAAATTGCTTTCAGTCTAAATTTAGTATTAAACCAGATGTATGGCATTGTTTGCTGCACCATAACCCTGTTGCTGGACCTTAATTGTGCCGTATCACAGCACAAATAAGTAAATATTTCCACATCATCTCTGGCAGTGCTGAAGTTTAATAAGGAAGCAATCTATGCATTTCTTATGGAAATTGATGTAAAACGTCGCACACAATAGGTATAATTACCTGTAGTTGTTATGAACACATTAATGAAAAGCTTTATGAAATCCAAATAGGCATTTCAGCCAGTCTCTGCTCAGTTAGTTTCATCTGTGCAGTGTGGTTTTCTCATATAGGTGCTCAGCATTAGCAGTTGATGTATAATTGGAATGGGGCATTGTTATATTCCTGTGACACATTATAGAAGGAAACAGTAACCTTCATTGTTCCAGTCAACTGAACTGGATTGTGTATCTTCCTCTGTGAAGAGCTCAGTGAGAGCCTTAGAGAACTTAACAGGGAGGCTTTTATTGTGTTCACTCTGTTGCTTGCCAAAGACTTGAACAGCTTGAAATGTAAGGCGCTTATTAGTCGTCATACTGTTTCACCAGTGATAGTAGAGTTAAGAGTCTGTCAGTGTTTCAGACATAAATCTCTTATCTCACCTGTGTCAAGTCACATCAGGTAAGTGGTATGAATTGGTCTGAATGTCTTTCACATTTCATTACACGGTTACCATAATGATAATGTTTTAATTGAACATTCTAGTACTAACTGCGCTTGAATATGAGACTTAATAAGCAATACTTACTTAGATTACCCTTAAACTTACTCACAGTAAATAAATCCTGAAGATTATTTTTAGCTGAAGCAGCAGCAATTTTACCAGGTCAGTCAGCAGAGATGCTTATTTCCTCAAATGCAAAGATTTTGATTGAAAAGTAGCAATGAAAAAGCTTTTACTGATTTTATTTAGAATATTCTTAGCTTCCATTGGTGGTGAAAAAGCTCAATTTTAACAGTTTTTTCAGGGTTTTTTTAATATGTTTAACAGCTCTTTAGTTACTAGAAACCTCAATTATGTGAAAGAATGAGTTTACCTTCCCCAGGTTCTGTGTCTGCATTATTACTGCTGGGCTCTGCAATATTGGTTAATCCCTGTGCCCCACTTATCAGGTTCTTTTCAATACAGTCTCTCAACCCATCTCTTACCTCAAATGAGGGTGAGGGAATTAATCAGTCTACTTGCTATCAGCTTACAGTGTAAGTCAATTTATTTTCCTGAGAGTTTCCATCTTGTCCACAGAAACAGCTTAAGATTTTGGACGGTAAAATTTTATACTTGCTCTTGAAGCATGGAAGTTCTAATTACTGGTAATCATTTATAGGCTGACCAGCTTTTTCTGGAAGCTGCTGGGTTAGGAAATACTTAACCTTTGTAATGAAGTTCTCCGGTTAGTGTTACTTGTCTCCTTTCTCAATGCAAGTTTAGTACCTTTGACTTGCATAAGACTAGAGAGAGTAATCCGTGTAACTTCCAGTAGTAGATTGTATACTGTGAAGAGATGCTATAGAAAAAGAAGTTTTTGTAGTGATTTGGGTGGTGCTGCCATTCTGACAAATACTGTTCCCTTGGGCTGGTCTGCAGTACTTTCCATATTTAGTCAATTTTTTTCAGATTCCTTTAGAAACTATTTACGAGGAGATAGTAAATAAGAAAAAAATTCATTTCCTTGTCATTTGCTTGTGCATTTTAATTCTTTAAATGTTTTAACAAAATGTGGAAACAATTGATGGATATTACGTACAAGTATCTTGGGTTAATGGAGCCGGGGTTCAATTCCACTGAAGTAAGAGACAGGAGTAAAAATAGACATCTTTAATAGAACTGCTTTAGGAGCCAGCACTATTAAAGTCTGCAGCAGTGCGTGAGTCATTTATTAGCTATCCCTAGAGAAGCCAGGTTTGTTGTACATGTGTAGAGGATTAGGCACATCTAGTTGCTGCTACAGAGAATCCTTTTCTTTATTTCAGTAGAAAATATTTGTGTGATTCAGACAATGACTGTCAAAAATCTTTTTGCCTAAGCCAACAAAAATGAGTATGTAAACCAGAAGAATGCAGTATATGTCCTAACATCTACTCCTTATGCTCTCACTCCTTATCTGAAATTCTGTAGAATTAATTTTCAATCCTTTTACCAAATTGGAAAAGGAAATCTCTTATGGTAAAACTAAGAAGAGGCAGTGGCTTCCACAAAGTGTTCTGTTGCTTCTGCTGATTTGATGCAGCACACTTTTTCAAGACAGCTTTGGATGAATCTGGATGTTACAGATGCATCAGTATGTCTGTGTTAAGTTTATTATCTTTGTAATTGTCTTCTATTCCAACAGGAATTTCCACAGATGAAAACGGATCTACATCAGTTACCAAGCAACCGGTGCATCAGAAGGAGAATACGCCATCTTTACTTGTAACGAGCAATTCTGATCAATTTCTGACAACTCCTGATGGAGAAGAAAAAGATATAAGCCAAGACAATTCAGAATTGAAACACAGGTCTTCAAAGAAAGACTTGTTGGAGATAGACAGGTTTACTATTTGTGGAAACAGAATTGACTAAGTGGGGGTTTTGGTTTTTTGGTTTTGTTTTTTTTTGAATCAATGTGCTAAGGATACTGAGCTGTTGGGACAGCAGATGCTACCAGAATGGACAGTTGCCCAAAAAGGCACATAAATATTTATTTAAAAACTTAAATTATTAATGGCAAAAAAATATTAATTTCTTTCTACAAATAACTTGGCTTGGTATCTGGTCAGGTCAAGTAAGTGATCTTTAACTTGCCTCTTGGATAATGTGGTGGATCGTGAGCCTCTAGCCTGGTGGCAGAGCTTCAGTATCACTGGAAAATAGACTGGAAAAAAAGCATAATCCAGCTCTGCGTTATGAAACCATGCTTCCAGAACATACTACTTTTCATGAAGGTTCCTCCAGTGTAAGGATATTCCTGGAAATGTATGACAACTTGACTGGAAGCTTGCCTTCCCAGTTACCTTGTTTTATTAAACATCTGCAAGCGGAATTCAAATCTTGTGCTTATATGAACAAAAGTATCAAGGCATAAAGCATCGGTACATAAAACAGTAAGTCAAGATAGTTTTTCTTGTCAACAAAAATCTTTTCAAGTTGTATCTTGAAAATCTTGTAACCAGAATAAAATTTTGCCTTTAAATGAAAGACTTACTGCATACTATTTTATCTAAATACTAAACACCAAGGAAAGATCATAGTAATGAAGGTTCTGCTTAACTGGGCAAATATGAAGCATATTCATTTGTGTTGTGTATCCTGCAAGGCGAATTATTTATAAATTTATTTTTAAGAGCTTTTTTGTTGCTGTAGGACAAAATAATAAAGGGGCACTTCTCTGTGTTGAGGAAAGGCAGTGTTAATTGCAGCAAGCGTTGTGTTAGAACTGTATGTATGGCATTAACGCAGCAGAAAAGAATATTACACTGCATTTTGGGCTTAACTCTTATAAGAATAGCATTGTGTATTACCTTGCCTGAGAACATGCCTAAAAAACATGTCATGCTGACAATCAAATCAGAATTATCCATTTGAATTGATTTGTTCTAGCCAAATTTAAGTAGATCGACTAGATCTATAAAGAGCATTTAAGCATTACAACGTATCTTTATTTCTAGTATGAGGTGCAGTTGTGGGAGAATTGAGGAAAGATAATCTGGAATTCTCAGACAAACAAATGGAGTAAATTTGAGCTCAAAACTCAGGCTGGAGACTTGTATCAGAAGAGACCCTTTAGTTAATGATAAATTCCTCATATACTGTTGTTCAAAGACAGCATTAACTTCAAACGCCTTTCAGATATTTAAGCAAGCACCAGTATCACTTGCCAAGGGAAGGTATCATAAAAGTACTTAAGCGCTGAACAAATGAAGACAAAATTTGCTCTTTGCTAATTTCATAATTTGTCAGAGTGGGAAAAGCCAAAGTTTATTTGCTTTATGAACATATGAAGGTTTAATGTATATGCTAATCCCTGAAACTTGCAGGTCTACAGTAGTACAGTAAATGGAGACAGTTCGGCAGAGTTATCGTGTATCTGAGCAGGACTGAGATAGCTTTGCCATACAGGTTAGCGTGGTCTGCTCTGGTGGGAACTTCTTGCTGCAGTCTTTCAGTCTCTCCTCTCCCATCAAGAGTAGCTGGGTTAATGGCCAAGATCTGTGGTTACTGTTCAGGGACGAGAGTAAAAAGAAGAGGACTTGTGCTGGGGAAAAATCTGAACTACTTTAGTTTTTGATGTATTTTATACTAATTGGAGATGTTCACACATTGAAATTCAGATTATCTGTCAATTTGGTGTATCTTATTTTTGAATTATTTAGCAGTTGCTAAAGAGAGCTTGGAATTGCTTTCATTTTTTTCTGTTGAATGACATTCTGTATCAATTTTATAAGTGCATCTTGTGTGAAACTCAATAAAATTCAATTTTGTAATATTTGTTTAAAAAAGGAAAAGTACAGCGTCAACATTTCTTTCTTGGTGTTCGGAGTTGGTGAACTTGCAATGTATTTACTGTATTAAATTCTGATTTCCATAAAGTAATATTCTTGCAAATGTGGGACATGGATGTGCATGAGAACTGGGTTATCAGTGGCTTCACTTCTGATTTATTTCTGTAGCAGTTGGTTATTGCCACTTGTAGGAAGAAGGTATTGATGCCAACCTACTATTAATATGCTTTTAAAAGGCAAAACCCATGTAAATTAAAAAATATTATGTCTTAAGGGAGTTGTAATTTATGTAGTCAGCTACTACAATTGGACTAGTTACAATACATAGCAGAGCCAAATGTCCTTGCAGTATAAGCTCAGGCAAATCCTTTCCTGAGCCCTGAGTAACAGTGAAAGGGTAATGACTAACTGCACTTAAGTCCAAGTCCTGGCCCAGGTCCTCCTCTCGAGGCTGGGAGCCTTTGTTCCTTTGGTTTTGCCCTTGAATCATGGTAACTAGATCTAAAGCAGAATGTCTGGCCTTTGGGATACGGCTGTTAGGTCTCCGTTTGTTGTGCAGGCATAACTTTGTTGACTTACGGATCACAATAATTTAAAGGTGCACTTGAGGCACTGGCTATAGAGGGCACGGCAAATGCAACGCTGCTTCTTAAACTCTGAAAGCCTGGTAGGGGCCCAGCTGGGCATGAAATGTCATTGTTTTCTCTTGCTCCAGGCTCTCTGGGTTTGTTCGTGATTAACAGGGATTCCTTGAATATCTAGCAGTACATCTTTAATGAAAGGTCACAGCTTCTTCTCTGACCCTGGGTGGTCCTCTCAGAACTCCAGAGGTGGCTGAGGGGGGGAGTGAACCACAAAACAAAAAAAACCCCAGCAACACCAAATTTCTCGTCTACAGATACAGTTATTTCTTTCGGTTTTCTTGAAAAGTTCCTGTCTGAACAGGGAAATAAATAAGAGCATCAGAGATTAAGCGGTGAATAAACTGAGTTCTTTAATTCATAAATCCCTCCAAAAATAAAATCTGGGCAGTTCTGATGCAAGCAGTGATATTTTAACTGAAGTCACAGTTGCCAAATTAATTCCAAAATTACACACTGAGTACAGTGTATATTCATAATTAGTATTGTTCATTATGGAGGCATTAAGGAACAAGTGTGTTTTCCGTGGGATTATTTTATTAATCTTTTGAAGCCTTTCAGATGTTCGTGAGCCGAGCAGAATTTCCCCTGAAGCAAAGTAGTTTTACAGTCACAAGTACACTGTTAATTTACTTGCCGCTTTAGAATGAGTTTGTTGAAACTTTTGAACTTGGTCTTGTTTTTTTTGTGGTGCAAAATTTTCTGTATTCTAAGTATTCATTTAGAAGTCTGTGTTTGTAAGTCAACCTTGTTGTTGAGGTCACTGGTTTTAAAGCCAGTATTTGCCAAGTTGTGGCTGCTATGCCAGCTCAGTTGACGGGCTGCAATTCTGAATGTTTGGTGTCAGGAATGAATGCAACTTAATTACAGGACAAACGTTATCAAACGCTGTGAAACTCCTGAAACATTGCAACGTTTCATCTTACAAACTGGGCTACAAACTGTGTCAGTCTTGGGTAATCATGGCTTCAGAAACACTCATCGCAATTACTAAACAAAGTGTACTCTTAAAACTTCTTCAGAGAAATTGCTCTTTCTTAGAAATTTGGACTATATTAATTTTGCTGACTTCAAGGACGCAAATAGTTTTGTGTAAGTACTAAGCAGCTCGCAAAGGGGGCTGTGACAAACGCTGGGAAAGTGGTGCAATGGGACTGTATCTCAAGGAAGTTTTTCTGTAGATAGTGATATGAGATACTTGGACTATGAAGGCTGTCAGAAACACCTAACGTATCAATTTTGTTTGGCTTTTTCTCTAGGAGAATAGTATCTTTCAGCCATGCCAACTAAGCTTGAGCCTAGCCTTCTTTAGGACTCCAGTATCTGTTATACTCTGATTTTTTTTTTTTTTAAGACAAAACAGCCTGCAGAGGAGGCATAAGAGGGGTCATGAATGTATCGCACCAAAGAACACTCTTCATTAAGCTCACAGCTCTAATAACAGAAAAATCCAAAATTATAATAGGTTTTAAAGATTTTTCTCAGTTTTGACCAAAACACTGTTATCACATTTGCAATGAAATAAACTCAGATTTTAAAATGTGCCCTTACTGTAAATAGGCTGACCCACCTGTACCTCACAGCTGCTGTTTTAGGCGGAGTAGACTATTGTTCCTTCCATTCCTTACCATTTTGTAGGAGAGTAACGCTGCCAAGCAGAGCCAAGGTTTCACTCTTAATTGGAGGCAGTTCTGTCTTACAGCTGAACTGCAGAAGGTGTTGGCCGTCTGGGGGGAGGGGGAGAGAGAGAGAGAGAGGAGTCAGTTCTTTGTGAGTACGAAGATGTGGTTGCAGCAGCACTACCTTGGGTTCTAATTCCTTTACGGTGACTTTGGTGCAGTTCTGTTGTAAACTTTGCTAAATAAATGCTGTATTGACTGTGCAAACACATTGCATGCATTGTGCATCATGTTGCATTTACTGCTTTCACGTTTTTATATCAGAAAGTACTTATTAATCTCAGATTGGTGGTATGAAAGCGATGTTGCAAGGTAAGTATATTTTTAATAGAGCCACTTTGGGCATTGCAGGTTTTATGTTGGTCTTGCTGCTTCCCATCCATGCTCGCTTTTAGACAAAGCAGTAATAAGTTTCTATGTATTGTTGACTGTTTTGAATATAGGAAAGAGTATGTTCCTGTGATGCCCAGTCCTGACAGATGCTTATATCTGTGGTTCCTCTTGAAAATAAATTAAGTATCAAGGTAGCTCACAAATCCCTTGTTTGGTGCTGACAGTTTAAAATAGGTAATTCAGAGAAGTTGAATTGTGGAGTCTTAGGAAGTGATGCCTCGTGATTTACTGAGAAGTGTGGCGATGAAACTTAAAATCCAGCATTGGGCGGCGCGTTCGTAGGCTCGGTACACCCAGTCAAAACAGGAAGGTGTTTGAGTTGATGCTAGCAAGTACAACCCTGGTGACAGACTGACTGCCAGTCCAAAATTTTCCTGCAGATTTGATTTGAACTTGACTTTCTTGTTAAAGGCAGCAAAATAGCCATCAGCCAACTTCTTTCTATGGCCGAGGCAGCAGGAGCTGTGCTAAACTAGGCTCTTCGGGAAACAATTCCTGAAGTATCATGTGTGTATGTATCTAACCTCGAAGCTATGGGACCTTGGTTTCTGGTCAGTTAACACTTTGTGCCCTTCGGACTCCTGCGAGGTGTAGCTGTAATGAAAATGGATCTTGGGTTGAGGCTTGGCACTAGCTACTGATTTGAGACAATGGCCTCAGTATGGTAGTGGAGAATCCACCTATTAGGCTGATCTGAAAATCTGAGTTGTCTTTAATCACTTAAGGTACTTTGACATTGGAGAAGGAGAGTGAATTCTGCTGCATCTGAGGTAATGGTTTATGGTGCTTGTTTGTGACCACATGCTATTCTGCCTCCATGCAGGTGGAAGTAAATTCTCTAGCTAGTTCTTGTGCTAGACTCTCATCTCTTAAAAACAAGGACCAAAGCCCCAGTGAGTATTTGATAAGTGATTCTTTACAGCAGGTTTCTCCTAATGGCATGAGACTAATTTTGTGGAATTGTTTTTACCTGCTT